AGCGCCAACCACTGCTTCCTGCCCCCTTTACGTCTCTCGAGGATCCATTTACATACCTTGGTGAAGGGGAGGAGGGAACTGGTCGTGGGCACTCCAGTGATGCTGTTAAAGTGTGCTTCGTCATTAGGAATGGGCCTGGGATCACCAGTCTAATCATCTCTGTGGGAAAATGATGGTGCTTGGATCATTTCCTTTGAGGTGAAGGCCTGCCCAAAAAAAGTCTCGACTTGGACATTCGCAAAAATTCAACTCATTTTCCCAACAAAAATGATCACGTATGTGATTTTTCTTGGGCCTCAATATGTGTCACTTTACACTTGCTCACACTGAATTGACGATATCCTTTAGGAACTCTTCACAATCCTTTGTTTTAAAGGATTTTTGTTTGTATTTCGTTGGAAGCCGCCCAGAGTGGCTGGGGAAACCCAGCCAGATGGGCGGGGTATAAATAAATTATTATTATTATTATTAAACACATTGAACAATTTGGTATCATCTGCAAACTAGGTTACCTCAGTGCCCACACCTAGATCATTTATGAGCAAGTTTAAAAGTTGGGAGTCCCCCCGCGATCAGTATTAGGACCTCTGTTTTCTGAATGTGCATAGTTCTTCCTATGAGAGGTACAGTATGAACCAAAGCCCTTGGGAAGTTGCAGCCATGCCATGCCCATTCTGTTAGAATTAGGTCTAAAGAGAGCATCTCTTTCTACTTGTATCCTACTCTTACGGAGTTTCCTAGTTGATTTTCTGCCCAGCATCAGATGCTCCCAAATTACTCATTGGTCATTACAATAAATTTCCCTTTCTAGATTGACAGGCACAACCTTCTTCTACTTCCTGCTGTTCTTACTCCAGTGTGGGAAGTTGTCCTTTTCAATCCCCACACCTTTTAAAAGGAAACCACTGGTAGCCAAAGGCACCCAAGGTGAAAAGCAAATTTTAAAACTACAAATATAATTCACAAACCCAATAGACATTGGCATTGGAAAAAAGAATGCAAGTCAAAGTTTCATCACTTTAGGATCCTGATCCACACATTCTGGCAGTTTTTCTGACACCTGCCATTTTTAATGCGTCTGCTGACATGAGCGTGCATGGTGTGTTCTCGCTACATCAGCATTTTCATAGCATTTCAATATTTTTGTATTAAAATGTCTTCGTACTCACAGATGACTCGTGCATGCACAACAAGTAGCTGTTTATGCAGCCTTAAGACTATAGAAACCATAAGACAGGGTTGCTGCGAGCAAAATACAAATGGATGAAAAATGCTTATATAGAGTCTAACTGAAGGAAGCTACTGGCACCGCTGAGAAACAGCAATGCAAATGACACTGACCAAAATCTGAATAGGCAAACAGGAAATCTGTCACTTGGGGCTAGGAAAATGGAAAATAGCCTGCCAAAAAAAAAAAAAGAAGAATATATAAAAGTATTTTTTTAATAAAGAGTTTCATTTCAACAATGGTGCAGGGACTGGGGTGGGGGAGAAGTACTTGATCACTAATTGCCTTGGAAATGGTATTCAGTAGGTTCCTGTTAGCCTCCCACAACCACATTCCATCTAGTGATCACATTTTATTTTTTAAAAAAGGATGTGCTAACAGAAGCATATCCTTTAGGAAACCACATAGACTGTACCCAAGAAATGAGCACTTATTCTGCTAGAACCAGTTGCATGGAAAGGTCCTCATTCGCATGAGCAATCCTTAGACAAATGAAATTCCTCCTCCTTGGGATTTTGTTAAGCATGCGTGCAAATTGAGGAAAAGAACAGAAGGGAATGAATGGGGAATCCCAAATCATTATAACTAGAAAACACTCAACTACCATACTTCTGAAAGCTAATGCATAGCAAGTGGTCTTAAGCCGTTTCCCACAATCAAATTGTTGTTTGTTGTTTAGTCGTGTCCAACTCTTTGTGACCCCATGGACCAGAGCACGCCAGGCACTCCTGTCTTCCACTGCCTCCTGCAGTTTAGTCAAACTCATGCGAGCTATGCCATGCAGGGCCACCCAAGATGGACAGGTCATAGTGAAGAGTTTTGACCAAACGTGATCCACCTGGAGCAGGAACCGGCAAGCCACTCCAGTATCCCTGCCAAGAAAACTCCATGGACAAAGAGAACAATCAAATTGGTGACTCCCAATAGCAGTCATTCCCTCAAAGTGTATTGCCATTGGTTCCTTAGGATTCCTGTTCTGTTTACCTTCACTACTGGCATGATTAATCCCACTTTTAAGATGGGAAATTGAGACTGGACATTATTGGTTTGCCCCCATGAGTGAATGGCTGATCAATAATGGTGCCCTGCCCACTATTGGCCTCTCACTGAGAGGATGTGTATGCTCCCAGTACATTCAAACACCAAGTGATGGAGCTGACCTTTAAAGCCCTAAACAGCTTTGGCCATGAATACCTGAAAGAGCGCCTCCATTCCGAGCATTCAGCCTGGACCCTTAGGTCCAACTCTGAGGCCTTCTGGCAGTTCCCTCACTGCAAGAAGTGAAGTTACAGGGAACCAGGCAGAGAGCCTTCTCGGTGGTGGCACCCGTCCTGTGGAACACCCTCCCATCAGATGTCATGGAGATGAGTAACCGTATAACCTTTAGAATACATACAGGGAGGTTTAAAATGTTTGGGGGTTTTTGTGTTTTGTGTGTTGGAAACTGCCTAGGATGGCCTATAAATTATTTCTTCTTCTGAGTTATTTTTCTGTGTGCACTTTTGTCCACACATGAGCACTTTCCATTAAAATCTATATGGCATTTCCTGTCCACACTAGCAAGTGATGCTTGATGGGATGTATTTGTGCTTTGTGTGGTTGCTGCCTCTCTTCAGTTACTGCTTCCCCCACACTTCAGAAGTTCCAGGTTGCTGTTCCTCTCAGAAAACCACAGTTCCCAAAGTTCCCTTGCAAGAGGGATTGACCCTTAAACAGCTCTGGCAATTGTAGCTCCTCTGTGAGAGAGGGGGAATGGGGGAGGGGCTCCTAACAACTCTCAGCACCCTTTGCAAACTACAGTTCCCAGGGTTCTTCGGGGGGGGGGGAGACATGACTGTGCTGTGCTACTACTTTATAGTGGAGATGGGGCAAAGAAATCGCAGCTAATGCTCATCGAACACTGAAGCCTTCTAGCTTCTCCGCAAACAAATCAGAGTGAATGTGACTTAGCTGTGATTCCTGCACTGTAGGAGGCTAGACTAGTTGACCCGTCGGGTCCCTTCCAACTCGACAGTTCTGATTCTATGAGTGTTCAGCAAGCCAACAGCCCTCTCCTTCGAAACCAATCAGGATGGAGGATAGTCAATAATCCGGGAGTCTGGAAGCGCCCTTAGCCTCCGGCGAATTTTCTCCAAAACTTCTGTGAAATGGGCAGGAGCCAGATTGACAGTCGGGATTTGTCAATGAGGCTGGATGGTGATGGGAGGAGGAGGAAATTATGTCATCCTCGGAAAGAACAGGAGTGCGCGAAACGGGTGGGGGTGGCGACGGCCCCAAAGCGCGCTTTAAAAAGCTTCGCTCGCCCTTCCCGGGGCTGATGGGGCGCAAGGAACAGCTCCTCTCCAAGAGAGCCGCTTTGCGCACTTGTTTCCAGTCCTTCTCCTCTCCTCACCCCGCCGCGGGAGCTGTGGCAGGAGAGATCGGCTTCCAGGTAAATCCCGCTGTCTCCCCTCCTTTTCCCAACGGAGATGCTCTCCTCTGGCGTAGAGGGCGGCTGCCCTTGCCCTTCCCACTTCCACCAGCGCAAAAGCACCTCCGGCTTATGTCCCTGGGCCTGCGCCTCCTACTATTAAGGGATGCGGTTGGGGGACAATTCAGACGACTGTCGCGTCCCTTTGGCTTTTTACACTTCGGTTGTAGGCTGCGATCCTAGAGGCGCTTAAGGCTGTAATCCTGTACGTATTGCCCCAGGAGGCAATATCTCACTGAAATAAGGAACTGACCTTATGGGCAGCTGCCCGGGAGTAAGTGAAATCAGTAGGGTTTACTTCAGAGTAGACGCGTTGGGCTTGAGCCTGGTGACTTTCGGTGTTGACGAGGACAGGATCGGGATCAATGCAAGCGACTTGTTTTAAAGGAGCGCGTCTATAAAAAGAAAAGGAGCAAACGCGTTCACACGGGATTGTGCGTCTTTGGGTGAGGAAATCGAAGCACTGGATGGAATGCGGCTCCTAGGAGTCCCTCAGCGGCCCGATGAGAGCAGTGGCGTAGCGTGGGTTGTCAGCACCCGGGGCAAGGCAAGTAATTTGCGCCCCCTAACCCGTGGATTTGCGCCCCCTAACCCGTGGATTTGCGCCCCCTAACCTGTGGATTTGCCCTAACCCCAGATGTTGCGCCCGGTGCGGCCGGGCCCCCCTGCACCCCCCACGCTACGCCACTGGATGAGAGCAGCTTAGTTGGCTTCGGGACCGCGGTTGAGGAGCCTACAAGCCCGGTGGCGGAACGGGGCGCATCTAGAACAGGACGTTTGGGGATCGCAGCACAGCGCGCTTCTAGGATCGCAAAGGCGAGCCGCAACGTTCCTGAGTGGGCTTGGGGATTTCACGGCCGCGACTTTTGGGGATTATGGGAAATCCTGCAAAAATGTTCTTCCGACAGTACTATGTGCTAAAACTGGTCAGTACGAGTGTATGTAAAAATGTGTGTGCGCCCAGGGGGTGACATCACAGATCGCTCCTCAGGGTTTTTTGGGGGCGGCGGCGGAGAATAAGAAGATAAAAATATATGAGTGTGCCTATGCACCTACATATTCACACACAGGGTTCTTTGTCAGATGAACACGAACGTCTTGTCTAATCTGAAGACGGAGTTGCTGCCAGTAGCCAATAACCACCCCTAGTTCCCCTCCTCCCAAATATTGCTTCCTTAGCAATAGTAATCGACAATCCTGTCGCGGGGAGTTCCGCGGAGCAACCCGAGACAGTCGCCCGGACTGGGAACGCGCACAATTCCTCTCCTCTTGCTTTGAACCTGCCCAGCGTCTGTTTAGCAGTGGGACGGCGGCGGCGGTGTCGTTTCCTCCTATTCTCTCCCTCTCCTCGTGGGTTTTGGGTTGTTTTTTTTTAATCTCCGCGGTCTCTTTAAATCTCCGCTTGTTTTGGGCACCCGCGCTCTTCTCCCCCCGCCCGCCGCCGCCTCTGTTTCTTTGCTGCCTTTCAATCTCTGCGTGAGCAAAAGGGCTTCCTCTGCAGGGAAGGAAGGGAAATGCCTGCCGGCCGGAGCAGCAGCAACAGCAGCAGGGGGAGACCAGCAAGAGCAGCAGCAGCAGCAGCAGCCCTGGGCATCGCACGGCGCGCAGCGACCACGGACCTTCCACTTGCAGCGAGCTGAGAGCGGCGATGGGGCAGGGCCACCAGGGCTCCCCGAGGCACTGATCCCCCCCACACTCAATCCCTGTCCAAGAGGCTCCGTCCGGACACTTTTGGAGACAGAGGGAGAGAGATTTCTGCTGTGGCAACTCGCGTCTCTTTCTCTCCTCTCATCCCCTCCCGTCGCTTGCAACTTGGCTGGAGAGATCTCCTCCCCGCCCCCTTTCCCCAGTCCCTCCATGCCCCGACCTGAACTTTAGCAGCCCGGGGGCTCCGGCTTAGGGAGCAACCCTGAGCGCCTGCCAGGCGGAGAACATGATTTGAAGCCGGGGAGGCGGCCAAGAGGGACGCAGCCAGTCGAGCGCTTTGGCCGAGACTCCGGAAGATGAGCCACGCAGGTAAGGACCTGGAACGCGACCCGGAGAGGAGAAGGGGCTCCCGAGGGCGACCCCGGCGCCTGAGGAATACTTCCTGGCCGGGCGCGAGTCGAGGAGCCCAGGGAAAACTCTGGCGGGGATCGGGGGACTCCCATCCAAAACAGACGTGCTGAGGGACAGGGATTCCTCAACAGAGTTTGCCTCTTTCTCATTCCTGCGGGAGGCGTTTACTCTTCCTCTCCCACCCACCCCGCCAGGGTTATATCCGATCGATCGATCGATCCCGCTACCCGGTTTGGTAATCGATTCCAGTCCGCCTGTCGTTTCTTTCGCAGAATCGAGAGAGGGGAGGGTCGTCGAGAGCAGAGCTCTTGCCCTGGCTAGGAAGGACCCGCTTCCCTTCTCCGCCCGCGCCCCGGGCGCGCACCCAAGAGCGGGAAGCGGAGCCTCGCCAGGTCCCCCGAGTCCTCCGCGCCCGAAGTGTCCTCTTCTTAACGACCTGCTAATTTTATGGAGCCGAGAGTTTGTCGTCCTCTGGGGACTTTCCTCTTCCCAGCCGGGGCTGGACAGACACGCACCAGGCGTTTAGAGCGCGCCCAGCTCCCCAACCCAAAGATTTTTTGGAATTGTGGTTTGCTAGGGGTGCTGGGAATTATAGCTCTGTGGGGGGTGGGGGACACTAAAGTTTCCAGGATTCGTGTGTGTCGAGGGGTGTGTGCCTGGCCATCTTCCCAAGCTGACCCGCCAGCGGGATGATGGGCTCCCCGGGCTCCGCCTCTGACCCGAAGGATCGGCTGTGCCAACTTTCCCCCCTATTTTCTCTTCCTCTCCACACAACCCGGTTGAACGGATCTCTCCGCGGCTGGCACAGCCCTGCCGGTCCGGCGAGGAGCCAGCAGCTTTGGAGGACCCGGGTGACACACAGTGCGCTGTTTGTTATGCTGAGGCTGTCTCGCTGCAGTTTGTGTGTATGTGTGTGTGCGTTGCAGTGCGCCCGGGGAGCGCATTCGCGGCGGAGGTTAATTGGGGAGTGGGGTGGCGCTTCCTTTGCACTCGCCGGGCTTGGGCAGCCGAGGGCGGGCTCCGCAGAGCGAAAGAGGCTTAATCGACGCAGGAGGCAGGCAAAAGGTTAAAACTGCCCGTGTGAACGGGTTTTTCCAATGCGCGGAAACGAGGAGCAAGCTCTTGCACTCAAGTCCTCTTTGCGAGCTTTCCGTGGGTAACCGCTGCCAGAAACAGGATGTTGGGCTGGCTGGGTCTCCGGCCTGATCCAGCAGGGGCTCTTCTTATGTGGGCTTCCAGATGTGGATGGTCTCCCTTGGTGGAGCATGAGACTCTTAGTCTCAGGGTTGTGGGTTCAAGTCCCGTGTTGGGCAAAAGATTGCTGCACTGGATGACCCTTGTGGTCCCTTCCAACTCTACAATTCTATGAATAAAGGAATTCGTGGTCAATGCTGATTTGGTGTTGATGGGAGGTGGACTCCCCACAACATTTGGAGGGCCAAAGTGCCATATTGCAATAGCCAGGATTCAGAGATCAATTGCCTCTTATTATTTCTCTGGTTTTCATCACTTTACCCATCCTGACTTGGGCCCTTTCTAGCAACAGGCAACAGTATAATTATTGCAATACCTGCACCATTTGCTGCTTCTGTGATATGTAGGAAGCTGCTTTGTACTGAGTCAGACCTAGTTCTGTACTGCCTACTCTGACTGGCAGTGGCTCTCCAGGGTCGCAGGCAGGGAGCTTTTGCCAGCCCTTCCTGGGGATGCCGGGAATTGAACCTCGGACTGTGAAAGACCCTCATGAACCAAAGAGAATGCATAAACCATGGAGTCTGTGTGTGAAGCAGATGTTCTACCATTGAGCAACATAGTACTCCCCATAAGGTCCTTCCTTAAGTTATGATTGCAGGGCTTCCTTGCTCCCCTTCCCACCCCCAAATGCTTTTCTGTGTGGCATCTGATAGATTGATGATAACACATCCCTGAGGAAATGTCTGATGAACTGCCAGTGGGGGGTGAGAGCGGTGGGGAAAGGCAGCGCTTCCATCGGATTCATGCGGCAGGGATTCCCCCAGCAGTGCTGCTCATAAGACTGAGTTATGAAGTTATTGCAGCTATTTCAATCATCGGTGTGAAAGCAGAACAAAAATGATAGTTCTAGGATTTTGAGTAAAAGACCTTTATCCTCCAGAGTAGAAATAATTGGCTAGAGAGGCCTTCCTTGAAGACAGGGTCCTCCAAGAACCTCTTAACCTCTGCCATAATTGGTGGTGTTTGTGCATGTATGTTCCCCAAGGTGAGATCCAGGAAAGGAGACTGTAGAATATGTTCAGGGGAAAGAAACTGCAGCATACAGACAAAGAGGAAAAAGTAATCTCTGAAATATTAAGATCAACTTAGTAACTGACGGAATTTCTCTGTAGCAGAACCCAATTGCTCCTTGTAGCTATTGCTCCTTTAATAGCTATTGCTATTTAAAAAAAACCCTGTTCTGGCTGCTCTCAAAACAGGGATGGGAAACATGTGAACTTTGGTAGACTACAACTCCCATCATCTCTGACTGCTGGCCTTGCTAGCTGGGGCTTATGGGAGTTCATCCCTATCTTTAGTTGTTCCTGCTTTTGTATTGGGGGAGTGGGAGATGCTCTCAACTGCCACACTTTTGTGGGTGCTTGCTTTGGTTTATGCAAGATATACCTTAAAAGGGAAGGGCGGAGCTCAGTGACAGAAGGTCCTAGGCTCAGTCCCCAGCATCTCCAGGTAAGACAGGGAGAGACTCCTGCCTGAAAGCCTGCTGTCAGTCAGTGTGGAAAATACTGGGCTAGATGGACCAATCATCTGACTCAATATAAGGCAGCTTCCTATGTCCCTATATGCAAAGTCATTGTCCTTTATGGCTTGAAATGGGAAGAGCTTTTGGGCATAGTTCCTTCTCTTTCCTTGAAGCTTATGTCATGGGCTCAGGTACTTTCTCTTTAAACTTGTACCCTCCCTCCCATTCTCCAAAGCATCCTGCCACTTTTGCTTGACTTTGATTCAGTCTCCAGATAGTCAACACTTTTTCTCTTTTTCTTTTTAAATGCTTCATTGTGTTCTGAAGGAAATGGATCGAAATTTGCCTTGCCTCTCTGCAATGCTTTGAATGGCAACCATAGGGGAATGACTGAATGCAAACAAAGGCGGGAGTAGATAACCTTCAGATATGTGACAGGTGCTGAATTCTAAGGCTTGATGATTTTCAGAATAGAGTTTTACAGCAAGGGTGGGCATACTTCTGGCTTGCAAGATCTTTTTTTTTTTTTTAGTAGAACAACAGTGTTTTAGCTAGATCATGCCCAAAGTAGACACGTATTCTCAGATATCTGTCCATCTCATGAACAGCTGATCAGTGTAATTGTTGAGCATCTTACTAGGATTATCTGGGCAGGGTCCCAGCAGGGAATCACATGGGCTTGTGTGTGTGTGTGTGTGTGTGTGTGTGTGAGGGAGAGAGAGAGAGAGAGAGAGAGAAGGCTTCTAAGTGGATGCACCTAGCTGGATGGAGGTAATTGAACTTTGGGCGCTCAGATTTGAGTCAACCACTGTCACTTCCTACACACTGGGCCAGGTCCTATCCTCTCATGCCAATGTCTGTCTGCCAGATATTACTTTACTGAATTACATTTATGGGTGATAACAAAACTTATACGGTAAAAATTCTGACCTATTGATTGGGCATCCCAGTAGCTCTGGGCTATTAGTTTCATCTGGTGAGGTGGAGGGGGAGTAATTTGAATCATTACACTGTAGTTCATTTTATCTCTGCAAAGTGACTTCCTGCTCTGACATTCCTGCCCAAATTCCCCATAAAATTTTACAGTAAAGCCGTTACTCTTTTTCTTTCTTTTTTTAATGCTTGGCCAAGTCTTTCAAATGAGCATTTAGGAACAAAGCAGAAAATTAAATAAACTCAAGACTGACCAAAGGATCTTTGACATGAGCGCGACACTTTCTATTTTTTAAAAAGAGTAGAGATGAAATAGGCAGAAGAACAATTGATTGCATGTAAGAAAGAGAGAGGGGGACAAATTAGTCTTCTTTCTTTGGCGATCACTTGTAGCCGAGTAAGATTGTCTTCCATAAACATGGTTTTAACAATGAGTCCGTAGGTGACTGTGGAGGCCAATTCTGGATCCACACGTCCTTCCACAGTGGGGACATTGGTTTCCTGGCAGGAGTTGATCACGGTGTGGATTTGCCAAGCGTGCCTTTCTCTTAGCATGTTTCTCCCTTGCATCCTGAGTTTGAGTGTCTTCAAAGCCCATGACACCTTTGGTAAAGGCAGTTCTCCAACTGGAGTGCTCGCAGGTCAGTGTTTCCCAGTTGTCAGTGTTTATACTAATTGGTATAAACATATTAGTAGCCACCCATCCATCTATCTATCCATCCATTCTTATGTCCCAGCGTCATCCATTTGCTAAACCAAACTAGGGTTCACAATTGTGCAGGTGTTGCTGCAGTATATATTGGACTTGAGAACTGTCATTGAGAACAATACACTGCTAAGAACCCACCTACTCTCAGCAGCCAGAAACATCGTAGCCAGACACTGGAGAGACCTGTCAGGAGTAAGCATGGACCAATGGTATCAAAGAGTATGGGAAACAGCCTTATTAGAAAAACTAACTAATAAACTGAAACTGACACGGGGACAAATAGAAGAAGATGCCTTCACCCCAATTTGGTTCCCCTTTATCACATACACAGCTCAACGAGATAAGAATCACATGACAGCGTACAAATCAATCTGGCTAACCTGATTCAAAAATACACACTCACACCCCACTCACATACAAAAACAATTCTCACTACAGCCAACCAACCACACCCTAAGCCACCCCCGGCCTCTCTCACCACCAAGGAAATACAAGTGAATAGCACTGACACAACCCCCCCCTAAGTAGAATAATAGAAGCATGACCACCCAACCCCACCCCACTCACCATTCCCTCTCCCCCTTTTCTTTTTTCCCTTCT